CCCCCAATAAGGAAAATATTAGAAAATATTAAAGGTAAACATTTGGAGAAATGATAAAAATGGAACAGGTCCACAATAAGGGTGAAATCAAAAGTAGCTCACCATTATGACAGTCCGATATAGCACTTATACAACCAATGAACTCATTCTTTCTTTGTTTTAAGCCATGGTAGATGGAAAAAATAAAAATGAAGATGTTTTCTAAATGGAAAGCTGGACTTACCCCAGTGGTAAGTAGACCTGCTGTATTTGAAAGTTCTGTGGTCTCAAGATTGTCTGTGGTGACTCCGGAGGTCAGATTTGTACTCTTAGTGAGTGAGTCCCCGACATACCACCAGATGGCGTGTAGAGCTCCCTGCTCTGTCGATGCTGTGGTGATACTACAGCTGTAGGACACCTTGTTCCCGTTTGAAGCCACAGTGTGAGTGAGGGTTGGCTTTGTGGTGATACTGGGATAACTGTCTACGTCACCTGGGTATTGCATGAAAGGTAAAACAGTAAACATCCATAAGTTTCAGAATTTTATTATGTCAATATTTCCTAATATGATGAATTTTATTATGTCAATATTTCCTAATATGATGAATTTTGATTTTTTTTACTTATTCAGCAATCTTGGGGAAAAAATAAATAAAATCTAGGTGTAAACAAAATCAGAACTAAAATTAGTTTAATTATACAGAAACACAACGGAAACCAAGGACAGTTCCACTTAAGTAAAGAAATAATATCACAAACTAACACAGAACATTGAGTTGAAACCAGATGATCTGTAAGTGGTAAGCAGTTTCCTGTCACCACATGTGGTACATGTCATGCCTAATGTCACCACATGTGGTACCTGTCATGACGTCTCTTGTCACCACAAGTGGTACCTGTCATGACGTCTCTTGTCACCACATGTGGTACCTGTCATGATGTTTCCTGTCACCATAATTATGTGGTACCTATCATGACGTCTCAGTTCGTCAAGACTTGGGAGAGTCTGTAGGTCACCATCAACCTCCGACACAGTTAATAGGTCATATATAATAGTAGACAGGGATCTATCAGATTCACAGAAAGAAATCAAGTCATGATGATAACACTTAAAGGCAAAACACTAGAGAGTTCCATTGTAACTTTTCATGCATACAGTATCTGCATACAGCCCCCCATGCAGCCATGTGAAATAAAAGTTTTGAATACACAGCTATAATGTTTGGCAGTGGTACAGGGATCCTTAATGATGACTTAATCTTACCTATACATGGAGTTGTCGTTGTTGACAAGGTAGTTGTTGTGGTTACAGTTGAAGTAGATGTTGGTGCTGTTTTTCATAAAAAAAATAACATGTAGAGTTGTGTAATACAAGCATAAACAGGTAAAAATATCTTCTTAATTGCATCAATGGAACCTAAAACTAACTAAAACCACGAGGTAAATGTGACACATATTACATTTTATTCCCCACATTTAACCATTGACAAAAATAAAATAAAAAGAGTTTCCTTAACCTTGATTTTAATCTTTTTGAGTTTGTTAAATCTCATTTATCTATTATAATGCAGAACCTTTTCTGTCATTGATTTGAAATCAAGATTGGTCACACACAAAAAAAAGAGAAACGAACAACATAAAAAAAGTTTAAAAGGAAGAGGAACATTGACCGCTACTTTGGATAGATATATAAAGTGACAAGGTGTTGACTTGTAGTAAGGTATAAGTGATAAAAGAAGATTAAATCTATACATTAATACGATAAATAAGTTAAAAAGAAATGAAATATTAAACCGACCCCACAATAAATGACAAGAAGCCCATAAGGTTTGTATCACTTACTGGAAACTTGAACAAGAGTTGGCAGTAGTATGGGTCAGTGCTATTTATTTACAAATGATAAACAACCTGATAACCCTCCATCTGACAAGGGTCACATATTTTGAAATAATCTTAGTTTTTACAAGTTAATGGATGCATTTGAAGATTTTTAATGTAACTGATTCATGTGGCCTTGAATATTTTCAATTCATTTGAGCAGTGTCAATATCTCTTCACTCAAATAACTACATGCAAAATATGATGACTTTATGACTTATAGTTTGTTATATGAAGTTTTCTGAAGGTTTTTAAACATTTGACATATGGTCTTGAATAGGGGTCAGTCATTCATTCGAAAGAAATATTGAAAGCCCATCACCAAAGCTAGGTACAGCTTAAATATGACTCTGTGCATTGTGGTTCTTGGGAAGATGCTGTTTTATGCTGTTACTACAAATTGCCCCCGAGACCTTGAATGAAGGTACAGGACATTCATTTGAACTACCACAATATATAATATATTATTTTAGCACACTCAAATTTTAGCGTTTTACCAAATTTAAACAAAATAGCACTACAATGGATTGGTAGGCCCAAAATATTCCGACAGAAAACGACATACAGGAACTCCAATTGGCACAGTCATAATTCAGCGCAATATCTAAAGCGCTAAAAGTGCTAAAATTTTCCTTCTGCTAAACTGTACATTTATAGTAACTTGATAGCTCTTCAATTAAACATAATATATTTGTTAATTCTTTGGAGGATATGAATGAATCCAAGAAAAAAGTTGAATAATCTGTCCTTTATAACTGTTACCAGTGAGTCAGTTAAGTATACAATGAATGATGTTAGCGAGTTAAACCAGTATCTTATGTTATAAATCAGCCCATTTAAACAGTACTAAATTAACAATTGACAATCCGAATAAGACTATCAAAATATTACTACATTAATATTATAAGTAACTCAAACATGTGAGATAAAAATGTTACAAGTCAATAAAACAGTACAATATGTTATAATGAGTCAATTAAAACAGTACAATATGTTATAATGAGTCAATTAAAACAGTACAATATGTTATAATGAGTCAATTAAAACAGTACAATATGTTATAATGAGTCAATTAAAACAGTACAATATGTTATAATGAGTCAATTAAAACAGTACAATATGTTATAATGAGTCAATTAAAACAGTACAATATGTTATAATGAGTCAATTAAAACAGTAGTAAGTTATAGAAAAGTCAATTAAGATAGTAGTACCGTAAACATTATGAATTAGTTTGAACCAGTACTGTTTGTTAAGAATGAGTCCATCTAAATGTTGTAAATGAGTCAATTTAACAAGTATTGCATGCTAGAAATGAGTCAATTAAACCAGTGTTTTATGTTATAAATGAGTCAACTAAAAAATACTGTTATGTTATAAATGAATCAATTTAACCTGTTGTATATGTTATAAATGAGTCAATTTAACCTGTTGCATATGTTATAAATGAGTCAATTGAAAAGGTAATGTCTGCTTTTAATGAGTCAATTAAAACAGTCAATTGATGAAGTACTTTATGTTATAAACGAGTCAATTAATAAAATATTGTATGTTATAAATGAATCAATTAAACAAGTTCTGTATGATATAATGAGTCAATTAAGCCAGTTGTATATAATATAAATGAGTCCCCAGAAGCCAGTGTTACTTTTTCGTTGGACAGGTAAGGTAGGATAGATGTCGGTTTGTTTAGTGGGGTTTGTATATATTTATGCAAATTTTCCTTTGTTATTAACAAATTTGTCTGTATATGCCAAGTGAAACAATGATTCATAATGATTTAAAGAACTGAAGGTTATTTCAGTCATGTTGTAATATGTGTAAAATGAGTCAATTAAACAAGCACTGTATAAGTCAATCGAACCAGTTATTCCTGTTATGAGTCAATTAAACCAGTCCTATATCAATGTTATAAACGAGTCAATTAAATCAGTAATAAAAATGTTAAGAATGAGTTAATGATGATATAACATCGTATTAACCAGTACTAAATATTATAAATGAGTCAATTAAATTAGTAATAACAAGAGGCCCAATGGGCCTGCATCGCACACCTGGTATAAAACTCACACTTGTAACCTTAAAAGTGATCTAAAATAACAGGCAAAATATCAGTATTTATGATTAAAATTCATTCAAAAGACCCTGTTATTTTTTTTTTAAACATTTCACCCCTGTGATTGAAAGTCGAACAAAGTCATTATGTTGAACACATTGTATAGCCTTTCATCTCAGGATGCAACTTGCAAAGCATAAACATCCTGGGACCCATGGTTATTCAGAAGAGGTTGTTTAAAGATTTTAAACAAATTTGCCCCCTGTGACCTTGAATATAAGTCAAAGTCATTCACTTTAACAAACAAAGTAGTCCTTGATCCCAGCATATGCTACTGACTAAATATCAACATCCTGAGCCTTTTGGTTATTCAGAACAAGTTGTTGAAATATTTTGAACATATTTGCTCCTTGTGACCTTGAATATGATTCAAGGTCATACATTTAAACAAACTTGGTAGCCCTTGATCCTAGTATGCTACTGACTAAATATCATCACCCTGGGCATTTTGGTTATTCAGAAGAAGTTGTTTAAAGTTTTTAACATATTTGACCCCTGTGACCTTGAATATGGGTGAAGGTCATTCATTTGAACAAACTTTGTAGCCCTTCATCTCAGCATGCTACTGGCCAAATATCATCACCCTGGGCATTTTGGTTATTCAGAAGAAGTTGTTAAAAGTTTTTAAATATATTTGACCCCTGTGACCTTGAATATGGGTGAAGGTCATGCATTTGAACAAACTTTGTAGCCCTTCATCTCAGCATGCTACTGGCCAAATATCATCACCCTGTGCACTTTGGTTATTCAGAAGAAGTTTTTGAATGTTTTTCACATATTTGACCCCTGTGACCTTGAATATAGATGAAGGTCATTCATTTGAACAAACTTTGTAGCCCTTTATGTCAGCATGCTACTTGCCAAATATCATCACCCTGGGCTATCTGGTTATTCAGAAGAAGTTGTTTACAGTTTTTAAACATATTTGACCCCTGTGACCTTGAATATGGGTAAAGGTCATGCATTTGAACAAACCTTGTAGCCCTTCATCTAAGCATGCTACTGGCCAAATATCATCACCCTGTGCACTTTGGTTATTCAGAAGAAGTTTTAGAATGTTTTTCACATATTTGACCCCTGTGACCTTGAATATAGATGAAGGTCATTCATTTGAACAAACTTTGTAGCCCTTTATCTCAGCATGCTATTGGCCAAATATCATTACCCTGGGCGTTTTGGTAATTGAGAAGAAAATGTTTAAAGTTTTTAACATTTGACCCCTGTGACCTTGAATATGGGTGAAGGTCATTCATTTGAACAAACTTGGTAGCCCTTCACCAAAGCATGCAACTGGCCAAATATCATCTCCCTGGGCATTTTGGTTATTGAGAAGAAGATGTTTAAAGTTTTTGACATATTTGACCCCTGTGACCTTGAAAATAGGTGAAGGTCATTAATTTTAACAAACTTTGTAGCCCTTCATCTAAGTTTGCTTCTGGCCAATATCGACACCCTAGGCCTTTTGATTATTAAGAAGAAGTCGTTTAAAGTAAAATATTGACGCCGGACGGACGGACGGACGACGGACGCCGCGCCACAGCATAAGCTCACTTGGCACTTTGTGCCAGGTGAGCTAAAAATGTTAAGAATGAGTTAATGATAATATAGCAACATCGTATTAACCAGTACTATATATTATAAACGAGTCAATTAAATCAGTATTATATCAATGTTAGAAACGAGTCAATCAAATCAGTAATAAAAATGTTAAGAATGAGTTAATGATGATATAACAACATCGTACTAACCAGTACTATATATTATAAACAAGTCAAGTTAAAAGAGTTCCACAAAAATAGATTGAGGAAAAAAATATTAATTCGGAAGTAAGCAATATATAAAGGATACAAATGGATCAAAGGAAAAATAGGATTAGAACAGGATAAATAAGTGAGGGAATAGAAAAGCAAATTCATTCTAAATAAACATAATAAAGGATGAAAGAGAAAAGAGCAACTTAAGCATTCAAAATAATAATCATTATAGGTTCAGATTGTTCTATAATATAACTGTTCCATTCAAAGTTTTGATAAACGCTATTAATGCTATTAACATGACAATCAGTATAATGGTACAATTAACTTAATCATGTGACCAGCCTCATCGGTATAATGCTATAATTAACTTAATCACGTGACCAGCCTCATCGGTATAATGCTTTAATTAACTTAATCATGTGACTAACCTCATCAGTATAATGCTATAAATAGCAATAATTGCCTTTCAAATGACTTGTTAAAAAAACCTTAAATTTATGAAGTGCAAGTCAAGCTTGAACAAAAATGCAGTGCAACACAACAAGATACAGCAACAAATTTGGCAAGCACAATCATATTACATTTGCAAAATTATTCACACATGAAAATATGGAAAACTTTTTTCTTTCTTTCTTTCTGAAAAGGTAAGTTATGTACAATGTTATCCCAAACCAAATGTGAAACTTTGAATGTATACAGTTGTACAGCGTGAATGTAAGGTATGCAGGGAGGTAGGGTCGTATAGGAATATACAGGTAGTTACCACTGCTGGTCTGCTCCGGAGTGGTAGTGGCATCTGTGGTAGTGGAGCTCGTCTCAGCTGTACTGGCAGGTAGAGAAGTGGTACTTGAGACCACTTCTGTAGTGGTAATGGTAGTGGGGACATTAGTGGTAGTGGTTTCTGCATTGGTAGTGGTAATTGAATCTGTAGTGGTAGTAGTGGGTTCTGTTATGGTAGTGGTAATTGATTCTGTAGTAGTAGTAGTGGGTTCTGTTATAGTAGTGGTAATTGATTCTGTATTGGTAGTAGTAGGTTCTGTAGTGGTAGTTGTAATTGATTCTGTGGTAGTAGTAGTGGGTTCTGTAGTGGAAACTTCTATAGTAGAAGTTGTACCTTCAGTGGTAGTGGTCGAGGGCAGTTCTGTGGTCGAGGTCGTGACCTCTAGAGTGGTAGAGGTTGAGGGTGATGCTGTTGTCGAGGTCGTAACCTCTGGAGTGGTAGAGGTCAAGGTCGTAAGGGGCTCAGTGGTAATCGTTGAAAGCTCTGCAGAAGTAGAAGCCATTGTAGAAGTTGTACCTTTTTCTGTGGTAGAAGTTGTTGCCATGGTAGAGGTGGTGACCTGTTCAGTGGTAGAAGTTGCATTCATTTCTGTAGTAGAGGTCATTTCTGTTGTAGAGTTTGTAACCAGTTCAGTGGTAGAGGTCATTTCTGTGGTAGAGTTCGTAACCTGTTCAGTGGTAGTTGTCATTAACTCCGTAGTTGTTTCAACATCGAGAACAGATACAATTTCTTTACATGCTTCAGTGATTACCCATCCTTCGATGACAATATTGGCATACACATTTGTGCTGGACCAACCAATATACAAGTTTGTAACCCGGGTGACGGTAACAGTTCGTGTGATAAATTGCGTTGTCGAGGCAACGACGGCGCCATCAAAGTACAATGCTAACCCAGTCTGTATACTCCAGGAGAACTCTATGTTAACAAATACATTAACCTGTAATCGTGTGGTATAAACGGTCCACTCGGCGGTCGCCGTAGAAACAGTTAAGTACAGTCGGCTATGGCGGTAATACATAGCCACACCATATCCATCAGCTTGATCACCACCGAAATTTAGGACATACATGTTTTCCGTGAAGGTTATGACCTTGAGATTGAAGCCCATGGTCATACCAAGTCCACAGGTCGTGAGGTCAGTAATACATGTGTTTAACTGACCACTGAGATCGATGTACTGACTGACCCCGTTCAGTTGTATTGCCTGACCATTTGGTCCAGCCACCAGTACTGGGTTCCCAATTACAGTGAAGGTAACAGTGGAGGTGGTCAGAATGTTAATGTTGATGGACACAAAGAAGAACGATACTTCTAAAACTTGGGCACCTGATGAAAAAAAAGAGAAGTGGTATTAATCCATTTGACTATAACAAGGTAAGATTTTGTTTTGGTCCAAAGGTTTCCCAAAATTAGAAAAATATGATTATGAAAGTTCTTGGTTTCGTAAGTCTCTGTAATTACTAACTTAAAAATAAACATAAAGCACTTTTTTTTGCAATTTTTGACAGAATAAAGAACACAGTTCAATGTGTTTACAAACATGACGGACCAAAATAAGAAAACATGGAATTAAAGGTGAGTGATCTTCGGATCCTTCTGAAAAAGAATACTCACGTGAAACGATGGACCAGGCATTGCTACTCAGAGAAGCATTACAAATTTCCAATGGAGATGCACGGTTGAAAAATCCATTACCGTAGCAAGCGTCCCCAATGAAGCAAACGTTTGTCTGAAAGTGGTAAATATATAATATATTTTCATATTTGAGTTAAAAAATTCTTGGAAACATGTAGGAAGGAGCTGCTTTGACAATAACAATGCTTACTTATAGTTTCCGTTATATGAGGAGTATTTCAATTCTTGGTAAAGCAAATAATCTCCATTGAATGATATTGTCAGGGATCATAAACCAGATTTGCCATAATTAGCACCTCTCCCTCTAATATTGCTCCTTCCTATTTTTTGGTACTTCCTGAAATGATTTAAGGAACCTCTTATCCCAAACACATCCTAGGCATCTATCCTGAACTGCACCCCAAAACATTTTCCCTAGCACACAGCAGGAAACATCTTACAAATTCGACGATGCATTTTGTCAATTTATTAATTTACTTTTCATTTATTGTCATTTTCTTTTTCAAATGAAGAGCTCTTAACTTAACCTTCCTTTTGGTTCCATTATCTTCTTCTTATCATTTTTTTAAAATATTGACCGCGGTTGATGCAGAGATTAATTTTTACATCAATAAAAAATGAAAATAGCGCATGAGGAAAAATCCCATTAAGTACAAAGAGAAACTAGAGAAAGTTATTCTTTGTACTTAATACAAATACCCCCCCCCCCCGTGCTTGCGATTACACTTGTTTCTGGAGCAAAAATTAAAGTTTCAAGGGCCATTACCCCAGGCAAAGATATTAAAATAAAAAATAATTTCTTCATGCATTTATACCTATGTTGTGGTTTCACTGTGTTTGGTTAAGGAGGAGTTAAGCTTACAAATTCTCTCGGGCAATGGCCATAACTCCAGGAAAAATAGTTGAATTGTAAATTCCTTCTTTCATGCACATGGTGTATTTTCACTGTGTCAAGTTGTGGAAATGTCCAACAAATTGTGCTTACAAGGATCATGGACAAATGGACAGAAGATGCACTGACAGACAGGGTGATTCCTACATTGTATATACCCCTCCCGCTGGAGTATGATGACGGCTACAAAATGTCTTACCCTCGGTTGACATCCATTCTCACTGCACTCGTAGCACACCGGGTTAAAGGTCACAAAAAGGACTGCTGTAGTGATGACCACATTCCCTCCAGCGTTGCTAACGGTGATATTAAATGACCCAGCATCAGGCAGGTCACAGATCACCTGTTCACTGCTGACATAGGTGGCGGTCACGATTTCAGTGTTGCCAACAGCTGTGTACGTTGTTGTTGTTTTCTTAAAATGGAGACATATTTTTTTTTTAACTTTTCTTTAATACCGACAGATTATTGATAATCTTAAATCATTAATTATTAAAAAGAATTCCCCCAAACTGTACAAAGTTTTTTAAGATTTTCTGGAGTTGCTAAGAGTCCTGGCGTAGGGAGATCTAATTATTAGTAGATGTAGATGCAAAAGATTCATGATGTTAAAGTCATGAAATTGGAACATTTCAAGGCATCGACACTGAAAATACAATGCTTATTAGGGTGTTTCTCATGATTGGCATAAGAGAAAAATTATCTTCCATGCCCAGGAGTTTATGATAAGGAAATTCCACCCTCAGGTTTTAAAATTGGTGCAAAACCCTCGGCAGAGCCTCAGGTTTTACTAAATTTGAAATCCTCTTGGGGTAGAATTTACAGAACTTACAGCTATCGTAACCAAAGAAATGTTCAATCCTAGCCTTCAAACATCATTATTTGAACAATCCTGGCTTCCTCTCCTCATTGACAATGCTACTCTATATAAACCCCTGTGCCATAAAATATCAGTCCCTTGTATGTAGCCCTGTACTACTTATCTCCATTGCAATGAAGTCTTTTGTTACTCACCTCCACTCTCTGTAGTATACAGACGAGATCAGCCCCTTGTATGTAGCCCTGTACTACTTATCTCCCTTGCAATGAAGTCTTTTGTTACTCACCTCCACTCTCTGAAGTATACAGACGAGATCAGCCCCTTGTATGAAGCCCTGCCCTGTGATAGTGACTTGCTGACAGGGAAAGCGTGTGATGTCGCAGAAAGGTTCCGGGAGGAGGTCCACAGCCGGAACATCCTCATTGATGATGGAACAATCCTCTCCCGCAAAGCCAGTATTACACACACATACCTCTGCAAAATAGTATATCAAATATTAATATTTCCTATTTATCACAGCTTAATATTACTCTAATAATACATCCATACAATGTCCTCCCCTCCCTGGTGTATTTTTTTTTAGTAAAAATGACCTTGACCTAAAATTTAAACAAAAGTCCTATTGCATATATACATATCACACTGTATTGTCCTATCAAAAATATAAGTACCATTTTAGCAACATTGATCTTTATGGTACAAACTTTATAAACCTCTATAGCAAATCTACATACCACAGTGTATCCTCATGACAAAGTGCAGAAAGATTAGTCTTTAGGGTTCATAGATAATCTCCAGAAATGAAAGGTCAGAAGGACAGACAGATGGACACCATGATTACTATAGGCCATCCTCATCTCCAACCCAAGGCCTTAACCAGAAGTGTGATATACTGGTGCTCTACATATTATTCAAGAACTCATTTATACTCACGCTCAATGCAATTTCCGTTACCACTACAGAGACTGGGACACAGGAAGTCTGTAACAGATGGATTTGGGGTCGGGATTCCGCCCACCATGATCCAAAGTTGTACATTAATTTCTATCTGAATCGTGCACAACTGGAGAATGGATGAGAGTGCTTCATCTGCCCAGTCAGCGTCATCCATGATCTGTAAATAGTATCAAGGTCATCCAAGATTTATTGATAGATACAAGGTCATCCATGATTTATAGATAGATACAAGGTCATCCATGATTTATAGATTGACAGTAGGTCATCCATGATTTCTAAATAGATACAAGGTTACCCATGATTTCTAAATAGATACAATGTCATCCATGATTTATAGATAGATACAAGGTCACCCATGATTTATAGATAGACTCAAGGTCATCCATGACTTATAAATAGATACAAGGTCATCCATAACTTATTAATAGATACAATGTCATCCATGACTGATAAATAGATACAAGGTCATCCATGACTTATAAATAGATACAAGGTCATCCATGACTTATTGATAGATACAAGGTCATCCATGACTTATAAATAGATACAAGGTCATCCATGACTTATAAATAGATGCAAGGTCATCCATTATTTTTTAAACATACACAAGGTCATCTGGAACATAAAGATAGCAAGATCTATGCATAAATTATACTCTATATATAAACAGATCATGGCATATCAAGAAAATATGCTTCTTCCTTATTTAACAATCAAAATTGAATTGAAGTATGCTTAATGTCAAAGATGTAGATTTAGAAAAGTCTTAATCCACATATTTGATTTGCATAATGCTTTTTTTACTTAATGCTCTAAATTAATCTGGACTAAAACAGGGAATTAGAGGTACGAGTCTGAAATGGTGTATGAAATTTGTTGCATATTTGTTCTGCAATCTCTTAAAGCAATTCTTACCCTTGTCTAGGATAAAAAGATAGACTGTATAACAAGTATATGGTCAATATCATTACCTGGATGTCGGCTACGCAGGAGGCGAGGGACAGAGCAAAGCCAATATCTGGGACGTCCCTACAGTTCTGGAATGCAGCAGTACCTTCTATATACGCCTTACAAATCGCCAGGGCGTCTGCCTCCGTAAGACCATTCGGAGTCGGCCATGTAAAGTCCTGAAGCCAAAAGGTTACATTGTATATTTCTGAAGTCACCAATAATTGTGTATCCCGTGTAACAAGTTACAATGCTTCTGTTTGTACCCACTCTCCACCATTCCTTTGAACCGTAGATATCTTATATTTGTTCAGAGATAAACATCAAGTTCCTGTTTTCATGACGAAAACGTATCAGCCATGTCAAACAACAAGTGGAAGACCCGATAAGTAGAAGATAAAGTATGGAAGCTGAAAATCTACGCTGAGTCGCAAACAAACGATCCTCATCAACCTCCCAATCATTTTTTTTTTAAATCTTTAACTCATTCACCCCTAAAGACACATTTAAACTCTTCCAATTCAAAGGTTGGAATAGTTCATTATGAAATTTCAGGGGTAAATGAGTTAAAGCATCATGGTCTTTAACTACAATGTAAGTCACATATGATCGATTGTATCAAAACTTCTCAATTGGCAGAAAATTGAGTATGCACCATATGGTATCAAGTAAGTATTGAATCTTACTTTTTTGTATCTTAAAGATTTGTAATTCTTAATCTGTCCTTACCAGTGAAACATATGTCATGTTGAACTCAAACAATATCTCAGGCTCTGTAGAGAAACACTTGGTGGGGGCCTCGGCTACCTTCATAAACGTCGACGTCATATCCACACCTGGTGATCACACAAAACATGATTCCTGAATACAAACTAATCTACTGTTTAAAAATGATCTCATTTCAATTAAAAATTATCTCATTATTAAATCAGTAAGTGTTATCTTAAAAAAAGATGCTGACATTTTTTCCCTTTTTTTCCCCTTTAATTTTTATAATTTCAAGAAAACTGCATTTGCATTATATCACATTTTTATATGATATCAATATCGATTTAGCTATTAAATCTTTCATATTCAACAGATATCAATCTGTTTGAAGTTTTTTTTAGAATATAGCAATTATTTTAAGCATCTTTTTACAGTTCTAACAAGTTGCCCCAAACTTCTACCAACATATTCCGTCTTTGCGTATTGCAGAGTTATCTTCTCTTGGGAGCAGGTATTGATTGTTACGTCATTGGTTTGTGTGAGAAAATTACGTCGTTTTCTCAAAAATTGATGACGTTACACTTACAAACCAATGACGTAACAATCATTCCCTGCTCACAAGAGAAGATAACTCTGCAATACGCAAAGATGGAATAAAGGTTTATCAATATTGAACAGCAAAACCTGTATTTAGAGACCACCTCCAGAAGTCCAAAAAGTGGCCTCTTCATACAGGTGATCCCTAGATAGAAGTGGTCTTTCTTAAAGGTTTGTCCGTACAAATAACATTTAGGCTGCATTCATTTATCGCGATCCAAACAATTGAACCGTTTGGACCAGAGATGTTCGTTTATGAAATAAGGTCGAGCCTAGTAATCTGATGCTGCTTTCAGACGAGCCTTGACAAAGTCTTGCAAGGCCTGCATCAACTTTTGCAGGTCCACCAGTATTAATACCAGAAAATGTGACATTTAAAAACAAACAAACTGGTTGAACCGATATATATGAAAGGGGTCGAGTCACTTCATAAACAGTGGGAAGGCATTTACCATATTTAGACCGTTTCTTTTTCTTTTTTGATTCATCCACAAGGTTTTCCAAAGACAAAGGCTTGTTACAGGACAAAAGGTCAAGGTTGTTGGTACAGGTCATGCCATTAATGTCGCAATCACAGTACGTCTCCGTGGTAACCAATGAAGGAACATCCTTGGGACAGATCCCATTGTATAGACTTTCGATCCCTAACTCTGTCACCCTGTTAGGACCAAAAAAAAGGGAAAAGTGATTAACCCTCTTACATCAGAGCAGGTTTTATGTGTGATCCTGTGCAAAATATCTGTTAAATAATTTTTCATGAAATAATGCAGGCAAATCAGGAATACAGAGATTTGCGATTATAAAACTAAAATCCAAAACAATTCATGGTATTTATAAGTCCTGGGGCCAACATATAAATTCTGACTCAAAGTCAGGAATGAACTTGATGCAGACAATGAAATAGCATCTGTTAGTATTTCCACTGAACAGTATTTAAAATGGGTGGGCTTATTACCAGGCATGGGCTTATTGCAGGATAAAAACAGTAATGTGACTGTGTATGATATAGAGCCTTCGAGGTCTTGAGGTCAGGTACCTGGAAATTCCATGCAAAAAAGGTGGCCATGTTAATTCAATGAAGCAAAATCACAATTATCGATATAATAAAATAAAATTACCATTTACAATTTTTTATGATTTTGCTAGAAATTTTTAAAAGCTTGGGTTGTATATACATCAGTCATACCTCCAGCTTTTAGAGAAATCCTTTGGGCGTTTTTCTGTTCCAAAATACTCTGTGCCATCAGGATATTTCAGATCGTTGGATGAAATATCATCAAAATTTCCACACAGACCTAGTAACATATAAGTACATGTATTTTTATGTATTAATCAATATAGGCAGAAGTGGTGAATATTGCTACTGAAAATTGTTCCACAATTACTATTATTAGGAGGCACGGAAGTCTAGTGGTAGGACGCCGGGCTTGTGACCGAAAGGTTGCAGGTTTAAGTCACAGCACCGCACTGTGTTGTATCTTTGAGCAAGATACTTTACTCCGCTTGTTCCAGTCTACTCAGCTGTAAATAAGTATGTGGTTGGGCAGTGCTAGAATTGTTGAATGCTAGCTGTTAGCGCCGAAATGGCAGCACCGGCTGTATGCTTACCAGAGATTTGAGAAAGGTATTGGCAGGTTGCAAAGTTCCTATAACCACAGATAATAATTTGTGAACCTCTTTGAGACGACCTACGAATAGGTTGTGATAAAGCGTTATATAAGAACCTCGAATTATTATTATTACTATTATTAACAATTATAGTCTTTTGTTGAGTTTAACATGTGGTTATATAGACCTGGGAAAGTGATACTAACAGAGACAAAGAAGAGGTCAATATCACTTTCTCAGGTCCATGCAACCACATATTTACGGAAATAAAAGCCTTGAATTGTTATATTAGATAACAAATAATGTTTTAATCGTTAAGAAATATGGCACATATGAAAAGTGTACAAAGGAAAGCACTGCATATGACATTCATAATTAAAATGACGTAATATAAAATGAATATTAATATGATGTTTCCAAAAATAGTTACACACAGTCATCTACCTTCGCGTGATTATGATCAGACCAATGAGGATGAAGGAAAAATATGTGTCATTTAATAATACACAAAACTCACAAAGGATACTGCAATACATGCAGATATACATCAAATATTACCTGATAAGTGGGACACACAGATAGAAATGTTAAGGTGGGTGGTTATTAAATAAAATATTCATATAACATAAACCATAACAAGATCATATGTAAATTTGATGCCTAGACAAAATTACTGAACCATAATTTGATTTTTATAATAAATATGACCATTCAACTAATACGGACCTGGAATGGGAATTTTTAGAGCGATGTGTACAATGACACAGTTGCCAAAAGTTTTAAGTTGAGGATGCACATCATCTTAAACTCTCTCCAGTGTTTTGGTAAGAGAGAATAACAATTCTGTAATTATTTTCTTAACAGAAGAGATATTGCTTTATAAAAGATGTGTCTTTAACTTAATGGCACCGAATTCGTAAAGTTTTTTTTTATATACAATGTACATGAATAAAGGAAATATTGACAAGTAAAAATGGTTTATTTCAAGACAACAAGGCTAGGACCTCTATGTCTTACTTTTAAACCTATTGCCATATCATATTTATACAGCTTAAAACTTCACCTTCAGCATTGCCATAGTCAACAGCGCCAGCCTTGTAATACACGTTGATAAATTCCTTTTTCTTCCCAGCAATCACCACTGTTACGTATCCACCCGTTGGTAGCACAACCTACAACAACAAAGTCATACAATGCATTCGGGTAATAACTAGGACATTATCTGCAGCCCTTTAATAGGACCAAGTCTTACAAATAAAGGCAATGTTGATTTCTTGGCATTAATAATTATGAACAATCATAGTTCGAAAGATAACTGTTTAAACACCTGTTATTTTTACTGTCTAGAGCCCTTACAAATGTAGTTCTGAAGCAAACATCTAACCCAATATTGCCTATAACCCTTGTATTTATAGTTCTAAAGAAGAAGACTTTTGCTATAATTGTAAACAGTCCTTACAATAATAGTTCTAAAGAAGAAGACTTTTGCCATCATTGTATACAGTCCTTACAATTATAGTTCTAAAGAAGAAGACTTTTGCGATTATTGCCTACAGTTCTTACCAATTTTAGTTCTAAAGAAGTCTTTTGCCATTATTGCCTAGGGTCCTTACCAATTATAGTTCTAAAGAAGAAGACTTTTGTCATTATTGCTTACAGTCCTTATCAGTTGTATAATTCTAAAGAAGAAGACTTTTGCCAATATTGCCTACATTTCTTACCAATTATAGTTCTAAAGAAAAATATTTTTGCCATTATTGCCTACAGTCCTTCCAATTATAGGTCTAAAGAAGGTAGTTCAAATTCAACACCCAATATTGCCTACAACTCTAATAATAGCCCTGAATATAATTTTGAAATTAAACCACTATTCCTACCCAAAGTCCTTTATAATCATGGTTCAAATGCTGATAACTTAAAATCATCACCGTCTTCTTGTCTGTATAAAATTTAATACCATCTGAGACAAACCTTGTATGTTTTTCCATTGTTGAAGCTGATGACGTAAGTTCCTTCAGTCAGGACGCCGTTGATGTACATGCGTGGAATCAAGGGAGACTTCTCACCACGAGCCGATGCTCCACACCGGTCAATCACGATGACGTCATCACCTGACCGCACTGCCACGGCACAATTACACGAAGCTCGCTTGTTACAACTGCGATAGAATGCTCTAACCTGTAAAACACAAAATCCTATTTCAACTCTCTATTCAACAACTATTGTTAAAAACTAACTATCGCGAGATATTTATTTACATATTAATTCACATGGAACGTTAATTGCAAAATTTCAATTTTTTACTTTTTTCTTCATACACATCTCAAATGATATATATTGCCAAACACCTTAATGCAAAAAGTTAATTGAAAAATGGCAATACGATCAGGTTTTATAAATAAAAATGTGAAAACTGGTTCTGCAACAAACCCAGGGGCCATCATATAAACTCTGACCTAAAGTAGGGGGTTGGCTTATTGCCAGACAATGCAAAAACATTTGTTTGTATTTATTTTACTGGACTGTTTTTGAAATTGGTGGGCTTATTACCAGGTATGGTCTTATTTAATTGTTGGACAAATATGGTTTAAGAGCCAAAGAACTCACCTCATATGGTAGAGTCTTGTGCCTATATAGCACAAATTCTCCCTCAAAGAAATTGTCATATTTCCTGAAAATTAAAATAGGAAGAAATTGTCATACTTCCAGAAAAATTAGATGGTTATCACTTGGAAATTTGCTTTTAATCCCCATTTTAGTACATAATAATTATCAAGGAAGAAAAGAAAACAGAAAATATTATATAACTTGTTTTAGAAGTAACTGTAACTGTCTTATTAAAGAAAATTACATCTAAAGATTATTTCTATAGACTATCATTAAGATTTTACATATTCAAAGTATAGAGTATTTATCTTTAAAGATTTATGAAGATTTGTAAATTTTTGATTTTTGCCAGGTGCAATCCTACCTCTTATCAAATGTAGTGATGTGTGGGTCGTTGACTGAGGTACATGTCGCTGTACGATCCTGGTCAATCACCTCCACCTGTCAAACATTCAAATGAACTGAATCTGATCGTGCATAAAACGTTAAAAAAACCTTCATAAAACATTAAAAAACCCTTCATAAAACGTTAAAACAACTTTCATTCTGAGGTAAGGTGTGAATTTTTTCTGAACCTATTCTTCAGGTTCGACAGTATGAACAGTAGAAAGGTTATGTATCACAACCAGTAAGTGTTTATGTGGGACGTTTTGATGACTATTTAGTATAAGTATGATACCCGAGTGTAAATGTAACCAAGGTCAAGGTTTCATTTACAGCCAAATATGCTGATTTGTAAGTTATATGGGATTTAAAACCAACCATTGTAGTTATACAGCCCAAAAATAATCTACCATCTCAAAATAGTATAAAACCTTAACACCAAACAGCCATTACACATACACGCTTTCCAATGTGAACAGTTCTGTTAAACTCCGTAACTGTGAGAGCGGTCAATTATATTGGGACATTGAGTTCAACCTTTGATGGTAATTTTTGAATGGAAAATGAGGCAACCAAAGAAATCACAACCTTATTTCTGCAAAAATGGCTGAACCACCAACATCATTGGGAACAACACAAATGTTAAAAAGATGCATTTTAATTTTTAAGTTAACTCTAAACAGGTCAATCAGCTGGCATTCAAAGGTGTTTTCAAATCACCTGTACCTATCAGCAGAGTTTTTGTCCTGTGCTGCTTAGAACTTTGACCGAAATATAACTGCCTACCAATTCATTTCAGTTTATTTCAACAAGAATATAGCATGTACAGTTTACCACAAGGAATCCCGACATAATTGCAGCCACATCATTTTCTTAATTTGGAGAGGAAGGTGGATTTTAGAGAGACTACAAACGTTCTATTGTAGTTCATGCCAATGCAATTGAACCTGTATAAGAGACCACCTGTGTAATAAGACAACTATATGCACTTCCTGAAGGTGGTCTTTTAACACTGATTTGACAATTGGTTATGAATATTCGCTGTAAGAAAAAAATACTTGGACGGGTTACGGGTTCGTGGAAATATCTGCATCAGTTATAGTTTAGTTTAGACAAAGTGAACTGTATATAAAATTCTTTCTGGACAACAAATTCCTAAGGGAGGTAACTCACTGATATGGACACAGATGTAAACTCTGTTACTGCGACACCATCCAGTAGCATGGGCACCAGATATACATTCTGTTCCTGGTCACCATCCTTGAGGCCATCAAGAGTTGCTCTGACCTTGATGCAGATCTCTGTCATCCAGTTCTTGTCGGTTATGTGGACTGAACAACTGTCATTCCCCTCCACCTGGAACATGGCCTGTGGAAGCCGACGTCCTGAGGGACAGTAACTCGACATTGCCTCGGAGAAATTATGGGATATCTGGATGCTACAGTTGGTATCCTTATCATTACAGAACATCCTCGGGGGCAGCCTGGATCTGACAGACACACACTCGGAGACTCCTCCCTCGTAAACCTTTATTGATGTCTTTTCAACCTAGAAATAACATAACAGATTATCTTAGACATTAATATGCCTGTCCCAGTTTCTATTCCCGGATCTTTACTTACTGTAGCTGGAACCTTTTGCCTCAGTTCAACCTTCCGCTTTTTTCATCCTCCATAATGAAGGTGAATATATCATGACAGCAAATAACAGTTAACATTATACAATGTATAGCAATCAGATATGAAGGGCTGAATTACAAAATATTTGTTATCAGTGAAGGGGAAAGTCAGACAGTTTCCAGGTAGACAGATATTCCAAAATGGGTCACTACAATCGCTATTCTGCATTGATTAATATAAATACATGCGAGGAGAGGATACATCCATGCAGTCCCGCTTTTTTTTACTCATTACATTTATTCGACACAGTGTGTATACACTCTCTATCGATAGGTGAATCGTCCTGGGTCGAGTGACATATAAAGTATACAATTTCGTCAAATCGTTGTACAGGTAAACAATACACTCAGTCATAGCTTGATAAAGGGACCAGTCAGTCTTGAAACGTTGCGACACGTTTAACATGTACATTGTGTATATGGTAATACATTGATATAACTATTTTTTCTATATTTAAAACTTACGATACATTCTTTTGACATTGTACTTGCTTGTTAGATGCATCTTTCCATCAGTTGATGGCTTGTTTTTACGAAATTTATATGTGAGGCAACTCGGCAGACATCTAAAAATGACCCGTTACTGACCTGTATCGTCGTCATCAAGGTGTTGCTCAACCTCTCAGGCCCTGTGGTGCCGTTACAGTCATCAGCAAAGCAGGCCATCACACCACACATAATCTGTAATACAGGTAAACCTGATAAAAAGACCACCTCTACTAGGAGACCACCGGTGTCCATGCAGAGTCGACATTTATAACTCATCAATGAAGTTTCTTTTTTATGTCAACTGAACCTGTATTAACTCATTCACCCTTGAAACTTCATAATTGACCATTCCATCCTATTGATTGGAAAAGTTCAAATGTGTCTTCAGGGGTGAAGGAGTTAAGAGACCACCTGAAGTAAGAGACCAATTTATGACCTTTCTGAAGGTGGTCTCTAAGTTCAGGTTGGAATTAATTGTGATTATATGGTAAATATAATAATACATAGCTGCATGAATATTCATCCACAGATAAACCATCAACTGAACTGTATTTCATTCTGGTCAAGTTGGATTTTTTTTTTAATAACCTTTAAAACTGAAATTAAATATCCATTTCCTGGGGATTGAAAATGATCAGCATTCAATTATTTCCATTACCGTAGTGTAAATTATAGTAACTCCGGGTACACAATAATACATGTGTGTGACGATGATATGTCAACACCAGATATCAAGACTTCACTGGGAAATGTGTCATCACACATACTAAATAAAGCTGATGATACAAAGACATTAGTTAACTCACTGGAAGACACCAACATAAGATCCGACGACTTCGACAAGGTCGTATATGAGGTGCATGGAATGCAGACTGATGTGTTTTGTTTCCGAACCTCACCTGTACATATCACGTGCTAACAGTATTTCACAAGCTCTGGGTCGCTACGACTTTTGTTGTCGAGCGAGTTACGCTCCGTCAGATACATCATTTCACAAATACAATTACAATGACGTTGTGAAAATAATGGTTTGTAAAATATCAAGATCCCTATAAAATGTAAGTGCATGTGTGTGCATGTGATAACGGCATACCACGCGATAGCCTATGGTTACATATGTACCCGATATTTAAATATACCATGCGTAGGCAGTGTATGGAATGATGTCAAATGTGTACCTGATTGAACAGTAAATTGACAATTTGATATAGTAATTCAATTCATTTCCATTGTTTTTGGTATAGTAAAGAAAATAGCTGTCATTGTATAAATTCTATCCCTCTGCAAAAAGTTCCTATTTTTGTCAAGGTAGACAACTCTCATCGGGATCAAAATTATTGAAAAATGTAAAATAAATGAAATATAAAGACTTTGTATATGTGAAGGGTTGATAAGCAATGTGTTCTTTTCATAATTTTATTGTTGTAATAGTTTTAAACAATGCCACACACTCAAAAAATGTGAAAATGTTAAATTTGAAAAAAAATCATTTTTTCTGTATTTTTTACCAAAAAATCCCAAGTTTATTGGAATGCTTCGATTTTCATGAAGTCATCTCTACATAGTGACATAACCATTATGTTAAACTTCCATTGATTTCTGCTGGTTAATTGCAAAAGGGTGGAGCCTCCTTAAGGACGTTCAATGGGATGAAATTTACACCAGGTGTTTTTTTTGTGAAAATCTTAATGTGTCATTTTATCTTTCCCTTCTTTTAACTGAAAACAGAAATTTACATTTCAACAATAAATATTTTCTGATAATTTCCATAAATTTGAAATACCTTGCTGCCATAAGTAATTTTTCCCAGCGTTTCCTCCGACAATTTACTGGAGAAGGTTTGGTTGTCTAGGTCATACGACATCACAGTTGTGTTGTCGTTGTACCAAATGACCTTGTACAGGTATGGTCGTGTTGTCATGGTGATAGGCTTGAAGGTACAGGTTAGAGAAACGCTGCCATTATCGACGTCCACGTTGATTTCAGGCTCCTCATCGAATGTCGGTAGAACTATTGATATAAATTCAAGGTCAACATTAGTTGATATTTAAAGTTTTGTAATAAATTACAAACAAAATAACCTAAATTCAGTAATTATATATAACAAGGCAATCCATAGCCCCCCACCAGTAATGATGTCTTAAATTCATTTACTGAGCTGTACACCTATCTCAGGATATAGGTCACAGCGACATACTTCTTGTACTCTGCACACTGTCAGCCAAGACATATTTGTATACCAAATCTGTCAGGTGAAATAGTATAGAAGATATGCCCTAGACAAACTAGTCAAAAGTTGAGGTGAAAGGTCAAACCATAGGCCACAGAGACCTATATTTAGTACTTAAAACTCTGCCGTCCCAAAATGAACTTGCACACGTGATCTGGTGAAAAGTATAGAAGATATGTGCTCGACAAACTCTTCAGATGGAGTGCAAACCTACATGTATTGAGTGGCAGGACAAGACGAGCTGTGCATGGTAACATTATATGCCCCCCCTCCCAATAAAAAAGTCGGAGCTTAAAAATAATACAATATCTTGGATACACTTCTAAGTGAATGATATTCAGTCTTTCTCCTTCAAGATATTTCCTGTTGTCAACTTCACTAAAATGGTTCACTATCTGCATATATAACGATACAGTTGGCCATTAGGTAAAGGGTCTCGGTGGTAAACTGTACAATGATCAAAGGTATAGGGCAACTTGGTTAACAGTCCTTCCAATGAAGTTTCAGTGACAATCACTTTGGTTTGGAAGTTTCAAGACGCTGGACAAAAGTGGATAGGACATGATTCTCATTTGAGCTCAAAATATAAATAATAATGCAATTATTTCTGCGTCAAGTATTAATATTTCATAAATAAAATACTTACCGTAAGAGATGTCAAGTTGCTCTATGATGTCCAAAGATGCCGTTACAACGGAGAATCTATCGATAGCCATGTTACAGAAAGCCTGACCTGTTAAGGACTGACCGAAGAAGAAATCAGTACTCAAAGACAAAGTCACTGCGCCTCTATCAATATATTTGGTTGTCTTGGCAACCCTCGCGTTGTCTAAATATAGACGAAGCCCTGTCTGTAGACTCCATGAGAACTGGACAAGGTAATGTCGTCCAATTTTGAAGTTGTTGGTATACACAGTCCATTCTCTTGTCCGTGTAGTTACTCTGCAGTAAAGCCGATTCCGCGTAAACCACATGGCGTATCCATAGTGATCATCTTCATCCCCACCATTGCTAAATACGTAAACCTTGGGGTCATCAACAGATTTTATTTCCAGTCCGAATGTCCAAGTCACACCAAGGTTGCATTTCTCTATGTCCCCAACACAGCCACTTGTGCGGTCTCCGAGATTGATCGCCTGGTCTACACCGTTTAGAAGAATTGCGAAGCCTCCAAGTGACCCATACACCAGTTGCGGCGAGCCAATCAGATTGAATTGATAAATACCCGCAAACAAGATGGAGAGTTCAATCCTCAAAAACCGGAAATAATGGACAGTCACTGTTCCAGCTGAAAGACAGAATATTATAAATCCTTTCAAAATATTTAAATTAAAGAAATACAGAACATTACAATCTATAAATTAACTACCAGACCTTCTCATGAGTTTTCAATATTACAACTGATAGGTGAAATGGACCTCCTTGTAGAACACCAGGCTACTAAACTAGAAAATGCCTGTCAGACATGCATACTGTATGCCATGAAACTGTTGCTGCAGTTTAACTTCCGGCAAATATATCGTTACAGCAAATATGAGCAAACGATGATATCTCTGATGTAGTTTAATTTGAAGGGCAAAATTAACACTGGGCAAATATGGATTTTGACAGCGAAGGGCAAAAATTTGTCTTGGCACCAGTTTACCGGTTTTCAGTATCAACACATTGCCGTGTAATCAACATGTCAAATTTCAAAAAAGTAAAGTCTTTTAGATTCTGAGACATCTTCCGAAACAAGAGTACTAAATTCTTAGGGAATTTTGCACACATTTTAGTGCTAGATGTGCTAAAAAAACAACTTTAAACTCTTCTCTATGCCCTTTAATAGATTTCAAGTCTATGTAAGACGCTATTTTCTCTCATTTCCCTGTGTGTAAGATAGAGCTGTCCATGGTAAGAATGGGGTGTAGGAAACTATCTTACACCCCATTTCACGCGACGTGACATCACAATGGCTCAACAATGACGTGACGTCACGAATTTGGAACTCTCCGATGCCGCAATGCGGAAAAGGCGACGTGATGAAATTATAACCTTTTACAATATATTTACCGTACACGTTAGGGAGATGTGATTAATTTTTCTGTGCAAACAATGTTTGCGAATATGGGATATGCTTAATCTAGCTGGCTAATTTTTTTTTTGTGTAAAAGGCTCAGGGGAAAAATTGATATTTTCAAAATGGTGGCCAGTGCAAACTCATTTTCATAGTTTCTGGGCTTATTCTGGTGGTTGGAATGAGAGAAAAATACTCTTTTGTGCTCAAGGGTGTAGGATAGTGAAATTCCAACCTCAGGATTTTCAAATTTGGCAAAACCCTCGGCAAATCCTTGGGTTTTACCAAATTTGAAAACCCCTCGGGTGGAATTTCCCTATCCTACCCATGAGCATGAAAGAGTCTTATAGTCTTGTCACTTACCTTCTAGCTGAGACCAGCTTGTGGTCGACTGGCTAATATCACAGACTTGATTTTGATCATTTTCGTCAATCGTTCCATCTTCGTAACAGACTGAATTAATTCTACACACGTCCGTCTGCAAAAATGATAAAAAAAAATGATTGAAATGTAAAGATTTGTAAATTTCTCTCAAGAGTTAATTAATGAGCAATTGTTGTAACAGTACGTATTATTACCCAATAGACTAACTATATAAATTATAATTAGTCATTTTTGACTGTTTCTGGCTTTTTGTCCAATTTCGTCTGTAGGGATGAAACAGTCAAAACTGTTCCCAGTCAAAGCAAACTGTTACCCGGCGCAAATTTGATGCACAGAAAACCCACCTCGAGTGCCCCGTTCAAGCGTTTCGATGACCGAGACTCAGTGTTGTTTACGCAGAAGAAGCAATGCAATGGCGAGTCATCATTACATGTAGCATTGATACTAATGTGTATTTGGTAATAAAACAATTGTTTCAATGTTATTTGGGGGACAGTCAAAACTACCATCCCTCGGTAGAGGGAAGCCCGGTGGAACTGTTTGCCCTCGGCCGCTTCCCCCTATACCTCGGGATGATAGTTTTGACTGTTCCCCAAATAGCCATGAAACAATTGTATACTATTTAATATTCTTTAATTTTGTTGTATTTCACATTGAATGTTTCTAAGATAGTGAAAAACAAACAAACAAATTTAAAACAAAATATGTCATTTTGTTACCAAAGAACTCTTTTCTTTACTTTTTTATAACATTAGACAGAATGCTCTGGAATGTTGAATCAATTTTAAATCAAGCTGAAAGTAGACTACTTCTATCCTGAAGACACTTGACTTAGATAATTTAACTTCATACAAATTGTATCACAGTTTCGTAAAGACTAAGGTCCAACCGCGGGCACTATCTAGAGAACTAGGGTATTTTATATGTGGTGTGTTACCTCCCCTTAATTTCATTTATTATATAATTGTAACACAACTTTGCTAGGGCAGTACTGTTGTCCAGGTAGTTTCGTTTGTTACAGCAACAGTATAAAGATCGAAGATCAGGGGTTCGAATCCTTGTTTGACCCTGTTTTTTATTTATTTATATTAAGAACACTGTTGCAAATTCTTTTCCTTTTTACCATTCACTATTTTTCAAACAAGCACTGCAGTATGGTTTTCTTTTAGGAATGATTTATCAAAGCTTAGGTTGCACAGAGAAAAACACTTTTAATGGAAAGTTACAGTTTTTACCGTGGTACGAGAACCCGTAATGAGTTGATAGACTTACCCGGTTCATGCAGTGACCCGTTGAATTACAATAGGTACACAGAGAATCGTAAACAATGTAGTCCAGACCGTTACTGAAGCTCAGTCCATCATTTGTACAGCTCACGATGGCATCAAAGATGTCTACGTCTGCTGGCAATGGACAGGCAATGTCGTCGTACGACTGGAAAGTGGCATATTGCAGGACTTTCGGCTAACACAATAAAGAAAGACATACATTACTTGATTGTGCTGGAAATCACTATTGTATAGTTAGATAAATAAATGAGTAAATAAATTCCTCAGCAAAGTAAAACATCCATAACAGTATATTGCAAAATGGGTCTTATTAACAAATACTTGAATTTGTGATTAAGAGGTGGCAATTTCAATAATCATACATGTAATCGATGGAATTAATATTTGTGAGAGATTGATATTTGCATTAAATGAAGTAAAAGCTAAACCATTTAGCATCATCATTACCGTATCATAAAATATATTCTTACCCCGTTGGATATTTGGAAGGAGCAAGATAGATTAGCGACAGAGGAGAAACCGAGACCAAAGATAACAATCTTCCCACAGGTAGTCGTCCGGCGATCACATATCTTGCCTCTGAAAATGTCCACCAGGGTCGGTGGGTCAGCCAGGACGATGGAACAGTCAGCGCCCCCAAATGCAGGCAAACAGGAGCACACCCCTAGAGGTCAAGATCAGTATTTACAAACATTTGCATATAATTTAGGGTCAAGGTTAAGATAAACAAATATTCTGGAGGTCAAGGTCAGCATATACATGTGTATGGTTACTTAGCAACTTTACAGTGAACTTAGGGTCAATTTATGATAAAACTGAGTTTTACATATATCTGGGGGTCAAGGTCAATTTATGATAAAACTAAGTTTTACATATACCTGGGGGTCAAGGTCAGAGTTTACATATGCATGGAAACTTAGCAACTATACTGTGAACAAATGGTTCAGAAGGTCAAGACGTTTACCTTCACTACAGTTGCCACGGTTATTGCACTGGTTTGGACAAATGAGCTCAAGAGTGTCAGGAAACAACGGTAAACCAGCATCATCCTCGACCCATAGGGTGATGTTGGTTTCCATAGCGGTCAGGCACTGCTCTGTAATGTCGGACAGTGCCGTATCCAACCAGTCTTCAATTGTGTCAGTTATCTGGAAATGAAATAAAAAGGTATGGGAATGCTGAAACTCAAGAAAACCTTGGACAAATGACAGTACTGGTAACACCTACCGTAAACAAGGTTACCGCGAGCGGTATATAATACGCCCGTCACACATTGAATGAGCAGTTGTTTGTATGATTGAAATATATGAAGTATTTGTGAGTAATTGATATTAAAAGAGAAATCATTCAACATAACTGGTAGATCAATGAGTGCAATACAACATCATGGAATGCATGCATCGCATTAATGAAACCAAGGGGAATAACTCCAATAATTACGGTCGGATAATGGCGGTTATCGAACTTGTCCGAGGTTTCATGGTAATTAACCTTGTTGTGAAGTTTGAAGTTAATCCGTTAATAATTACTCGAGATATCGAGCGGACACTGTTTCGGCAAGTCCATAAAGGGGCATAACTCCAGAAAGTATGGTCGGATAATGGCGGTTATCGAACTTGTCCGAGGTTTCATGGTAATTAACCTTGTTGTGAAGTTTGAAGTTAATCCGTTAATAATAACTCGAGATATCGAGCGGAAACTGTTTCGGCAAATCCATAAAGGGGCACAACTCCACAAATTATGGTCTGATAATGGCGGTTATTGAACTTGTCCGAGGTTTCATGGTTATTAACCTTGTTGTGAAGTTTGAAGTTAATCCGTTAATAATTACTCGAGATATCGAGCGGACACTGTTTCGGCAAGT